TTGACCTAAAATTAGGGGTTAAAATTAATAAATTGGACTAGTTGTTTAAAATGATGAAATAGTAATTAATAATAGTTAGCCATTTTCATTAATTAAATTCTTGGAAAATTAATTCTAACTTGTCTATGAGATTAGAAATTAATTTAAGCCAACCATATTTTAGCACATTAATAAGGCCTAGAAATAGGATAAATTAATGAAAAGGATTTACATCTTGTCTATGAGAAATAAATTCAATTGCTAAACTAAAGAGTTTAACTAGTTAATGAATTTGGCTATTTTTATTAATTAAAATATTGGAAAATTATTTCTACCTTGTCTATGGGTTTAGAAAATAATTTAAGCCAACCATTTTAAACACATTAATGACACCTAGAAATAGGATAAATTAATGAAGATAGTTTCTATTCTTGTCTATGAGGAAGGAAATTATTAGTCCAATTTTAGTTTTAATTTCCCTAATTAAGAGGTCCAAGAACATATCCATTTCTAATTACTCAATTCATTGCCCTTATTTGCATCCTTGAATATTCAATATTTATACATTAATCTTTAAATTGCACCTTGCTCCTAGTTATAATTTAGCGTAATATAGAACAAAATCACTTTCCTATATTGAAAAAGCTTCCAACAATTAGCGATAGCCCGTGACTAAAATTAAATTAAGAAACTTCTCCGCCATTCCTCAAGAGACACGACACTCGGGGAAAAACCGAAAGGTTAGACTCCGTTTTACTACAACGCCGCGAAAGCGGTTATCAGGGTGGAATTGGATGGTGTTTTGAAAGATTAAAGATGAAAAGAGGTGAAAAGGAGGTTGTGTAGGGGAAAGAAAAAGAAAAAAATAAAATAAACACACAATGATGTACCTCACTTGGGTTGCCTCCCAAAAAGCGCCTTATTTAACGTCGTGACACGACACCATCTTTTTTAATTTCAGTCGTTTAGGCTTAGATCGTGATGATCCCTCTTCTTCACATTTTCACCCGAGTGACTCTTATAGAAAAGCCCAATTTGTCGACCCTTTATTTTGACAATCTTTCCAGGATCAAATATCCGGATTTCTATCACTTCATATTGTAAGAGTGAGGGTCCATGATTTTCACTTAGCATAGTCAATCGAAGGGGTTTTGATCTGGGTGGTATAAGAGGGAGTATGAAATGTTTGCGTAACTCCACCGTTATCCCCTGCATATTTGTGAACGAAGAGAAATCTAAATGATACTCACAATTGCTGAAGATTTCGTAGATGTCTTTGTCGTTCTCCACCCTTTGTGTTTCCCTTAGAGTCTCAGGAAATGGTGGCATGATTTCAGGAATGGCCGGTGGTGGAGTTGAGTTTTGAGGTTCCTCCTCCGGTTGAGCTTTCTCCGTAAGCTCCTCTTCTTCCTCCTCCTCGCCCATGTGGTTCACAATGTTTGGCATTTGTTTCAACTGAGTGTCCAAGTTCTGTTCGTTGGACACTGTTTCTTGCGGGAATTGTGACATATTTTGTTTCATATTCGTCACATTGATAGTGAGAGCTCGGATCATGTCTTCAGTGGACATGCTGGAATAAGAACTTGAGTATGGGTTATATGTGTTGGAGAATGAATCATACCTCTCTTGGAAACCAACATCATTCCTATGTTCAAAGTATTCTTTTTGAAGCTCTGCGCAAAAATCTGTAATATGCATGTGTGACATGCAAATGTTGCATGTATGGACATCTTGAGATTTTGAACATGAAATAAACTCCTTTATTAGAGAAGTCAAGTCAGAAATTTGACTCTCTAGGGATGATGTGTTGGTATCCATATACTCATGAAAGCTCAGAAAATAGAAAACTAAGATTTTTATTTTTTTTTATTTTTATGAGATAAAAGAAAAAGAAAAATAATTGCCTTTCCCCGGCAACGGCGCCAAATTTGACGTGCACTTTGTCGTGATGTGCACTCAAAATAATAATACAATACAACACTTATACGTAGTATAACGTAGTAAAGTTCGTATCCACAGGGAAAGGAACACTTCTCTTTTTATAAAACTAGAAATAAGTAACAAGGGGGGTTTTTATGATTGGTTTATGAACTTAAATTATGTTTAAACACAAAGATGAACGAGTTATGTGGTTTAATTAATGAGAAGAAGACTTGGCTTTGCTTTTATCCACTTAATGAAATGTTCGTCGATCCCGGTTATATCTTTAACTATCTTCCTCTCGAATACTCAATCAAGGAGTATATCCAGTTCATCGAGGGTAGTTATTAATAACGAGATGCGTTCATTAATAAAACTTACTATCGAGTCAATATAGAACAAGCGCCGTATATTAACTTGATAGTAGCAATAAACTTAAGATGAAAACGATTGAGATTGATAACCTCAACACAAGCGGTTTATTGGTTTAATCAATATAATTAATTCCTCTTGGTTTATTAACCATGAGAAGCATGCATTAACAATCCAAGTTTACTCTTATTGAAAGAACCGAATTAATAACAAGCGTATTAACCGATTGATTCTAGTAATAATTAATATATGAGACAAAACTAATTGATCCTTTAAGTAATGCTCAAGATATTAATATGGAGTATGAATAGGAAGTAATTAATATTCAAGGAAAAAGATTAAAGAAAATAACTCACAACTTACAAATCATTAAGCTTCAAAGTAGCAAAACCAAGATGGAAGAGTTTAGCTCCTCATTTGGAGACTAAACATGAAGAAAATATAAAGAAATAACTTGTCTAAACTGAGCTTAGAAGTATATAGGAATTTGTGATTTTATTATGAAGGAAAGGGGTGTATTTATAGGCTTTTGGGAGCCGCAGGGTCTGATACCCGATCGGGTATATAGGATACCCGATCGGGTATCTTAGGAAATTGCCTCGAAAGTCACTTTTCTGGGCATACCCGATCGGGTATGTCGGCATACCCGATTGGGTATGTGACAAATCTTCACGAAAATTTACTCCCACGATCATTTGTTCCCGGATTTTATTTGGACAATCGAATCAAGTGAATACCCGATCGGGTATAGGCAATACCCGACCGGGTACATGAGTACTTTTTCCAAATTGAGATCTTTCTTGTCTCCTTGCACTTTCCTTGATCTTTTAAGGTCCAATCTTGATCCCTTGGATGATCTTTGACCTGTTTAGCTCAGAATAATCCTAATCTAAACAAATTACAAATAAAAATGAAAATAAAATATTACACCAAAAGTGTGTAATTTCCACAACTAGAACTAATAAAAACTAGCTAAAAATACAAACATACAATCGGAAATTACACGAATATCAATAATCTATGGATTGGGTAAAATATTCAAAGCGGCAATAATGTTCAAGATCTACCTCACTCCGCCCACGCCGCATTTTGGTCTTCATGTCTGGGATAGTGATGTTATGTTTTAAACAAAACTCTTCCACTTGTTTCAACAGATTATCCCATCCATCATCCCTTAGACTTTGAAGAAGGGTTTTGGATGTTGAAACATACCCTATTGCTGATAAAATGTCCACTGACTCCTTTTGAAATGCTTGACAAAGAAAATCAGTTATAGCCATAATAGCTTTCATTACGTGCAAGTCAAAGACAAAATTAAAACTCTTCACGCTAGTGCAAGCTCCATCTGCTTCGTTTCGAGCCTTAGGGTTCGGCCCATCACAAGCAATATTCTCAAGTACCTTACAAGTAGCATTGTACAATTCTATCATACTAAGAACAGAATCATAATGAGAGCTCCAACGAGTTGTACCTGGACGTTGTAAAGAGGACATTTGATTGGCTCCTCGTCCAGATTCACGCTCCCCACTTGCCAACAGAATGTCAATTTCTGCTCTATGAGTAACTTGTAATTCTGTGTTGCGCTTAGCAGAAGATTTGACAATGTTAATCACTTTATCTAAAATGGAAAAAAATCTCCAAATAGGATCACACTGTTTTGCTGAAGCCACCAATGTCAATTGCAACCTGTGAGCAAAACAATGCACATAGTATGCATAAGGACAATCATTCAGAAATAGTGCTTGCAATCCGTTCCATTGTCCACACATATTACTAGCTAGCACCGTCATATCCCTGGCCTCATAACTTATGGACTTGAAGATTGTAATGAGAAAGAACATCACAGATCTCATGCTTAAGTGTTTCTGAAGAAGTTTCAGCAACGCCTTTAATAGCAAAAAAACGTTCTGTTAAAATACCAGCAACATTCACAAATCTCAAATTTATGGCCATTTGCTCCCGGTCAGATTCATCCTTTGCTTCATCAACAAGAAGACAAAAACACGAATCTCCTATTTCTTCACGTATCATACGGCGAACTCTATTAGCCATTAAAGATAAAATTTCTTTCTGGATATCAGGTGAAGTGTATTTGGCATTTTTGGGAGCATTACCCAATACAACATCTCTGACTTCTTCATTCCACTTTGCTATGTAAGTAATCAGTTCTATCATATTTCCACAGTTCAAAGATTTTTCAGACTCGTCATGACCTCTAAAAGCACAACCCTGTAACGCTAGCCACTGCACAGTCATGATTGATGTCTTTAATCTTAAACGGTTTTTTAAAACTTCTTCTTTGCTAACTCTCTCAATCACTTTATCAATATGCTGAGCTGGAGTCATTAGGGAAGTAGCATACGTCACACATTTATTATGATAAGAATAAGGTGATGTACCTGTGTGAAGAAAAAATACACATTCTTTGCCTTGATGAACTCTCTTCCAGTTATCAAATCCAATATGGACTAATGCAGAGGTATTGGAGGCATGGATGTTATCACAAAATAGAAAGCACGGAAAGCAATATGCTTTGTGCGCTCTCAGAGAATATTCCAACCAATTAAATTCATTGAACCAATTTGGTTGAAAACGTCGAATTTTGTCTTTATATTCTCGACCTTGATAGCACTGAAGTTTTGGTTGGTAAGGCCCAGCCGCCAAATATAACCGCCTAACTTCATCTCTATTATTAACAGGCCAATCACATATTTTTCTTCTTTTACCAGGATCCCGTTCTATTTCAATCACAGAAGAAGATGCTTGATTTTGAACATTAGAAGATTCTTCATGCTCATTCGAAATCGGGTTCTCAGTTTGTACACTTGTAGTTGGAGCAGTGGAGGTAAAATAAGAATGCAGAGTTGATTTGCCTACTTTGGCTTTCTTGGGAGGTTGTTGTGGAGTGGTCATTATTTTCTATAACGTCAAAATATGTAATACTTTAGTAAATAATAGCTAGTAAATTACGAATTACTGATTTAGGAACACAATTAACAATTTACTAATAAACAATATCCCAATTCCCAAATCCAACTAATTACAAATTAGTAACTACGAACTAATTAAAAATTAGTAAATTATTATTATTTATATAAGAGCCCAATTCAAATACAGTCATAAATCATACATTCATACGGAGGTAGTTACTACCTTACTGGTAGAAATTCACAAATAGCCATTCACAAATACACAATAGCCCAAATAAGGAACTAATTACAAATTAGTAATTTATTAATATAAGAAATTAGGGTAAGAAAAATACCTAAAAATTGCAGATTTTGCGCGGAGAAGGCGGAGAGCAGGCGGAATCCCAGTTGCCTAGACGGAAGACTGCGGTCGTTCCTACCCTTGGGCTCCAGCGCCAGCGGCACTGCTACGGCGAATTCCTTCTTCTCTGGACAGCCGCTTTTCTCAACTACTTGTTCTGTTGTTCATACTCCCGTAGTCCCTGGCCGATTAAACGCAGCACTTCTCCCAGTTGGCCGGTTGGCTGAATAAGATTTGGGCTGGAGGTTTTAATGATACTGGGCCAATTTTTGTATACACTGGGCCATTACTTAAAAATATTTTTTTTACTATTCCTAATGGAGACTAGGCCGACTTGCACTGGGCCATGGCCCAGGGTGGCCCCCCCCCCTCCTCCGCCAATGGCGGAGCCACCATTGTTCAAAGGTGTTCAAGTGATGAACACCTAAAATAATGAAAAAATACTAGTATACATATATAAATTTAATATAATTATATTATTTATTGTTCTTTAATTGTACAAAGAAAATGAACACCCAAAATCTCAACTGTAAATCCACCACTGTGTTTGACACTGTTTGGCACTGTTTTGATGTAGATTTCTTTGCCAAAAAGGGAAATAAGGAAGTGTGAAGTTTATTTTAGATCGTCCCAAAAAAGAAAAGTGTGAAGTTTATTAAAAACTGGAGGGAGTAGTAGAATAACAAACGGCCGGTAACTACTCCGTATTATATAGGCTAATGGGGTAATCTATCTATTACCCGGAGTATATAAAAAGCAAAAGAGATGTTGAAATTAGAACAGTGACACAGTGTGTAATTAACACCCCAAATACTCCAGATAATCTATCTATTACCCGGCCCGGAGTATATAAAGTTACATCAATATGATAGTAATTGATATGATGAACCAAATTTGACTCCATCGAGGTGTATTTCAAAGAACAAAATTTCTAAAAGGGAGAAAACAAATGTATGTTACATATCATAATATTTTGAAAATAGTAAGTAAATAAATGTGAATATATGTGATTACTTTATTTGACTAAATAAAAGGGATAGCAAGCTAATATTAATTGTTTAAAATTAGGAAAGGGGTAAATTTCAAGCACAGATTGGCGAATAGTTCTTTTGATACTAGTACAAATTAAAACGGAAGAAGTTAAAGCTAGACTATAAATTAGATAACAAAGTGATTTCTCTAGAAGGTATTATAAGACAAATTGCATGCATGCTCAGTAGCTATAAAACAAAGTTGCCTGCTCCATAACATTGCTAGGAAGACACACAGCCAATTGTTTAGCATAGAACAAATATATCATGCAATTTAAATTAAAGGACACATGACCAACTATACAAGAACACAAATGTTTCTATTTAACCTAGATGAACTAAACATAGGTAGAATACTCCCAAGGACCAGAAGTGTGTTGACAAAATCGATCTATATCATTGCATGCTAGTATTACACGTTGCTGTAAGCATCAGAAAGCAACAAAGTAATGAATACATAAATAATAAGTATATATAAAACCCAAAATGTAATATACTACAACAAAAACGTTTGAGGAAGATTAAATGGGAAGAAACTAGAGTGGAGAGGAAGCATTGAGAACACAGGAAGGAGAGTAAAGAAAGACTAGCTAGCCTACAATCACTTTTATTTTGATCCTTTTCCATGCCAATGTAAAGGTCTGTACCATAATACGACATTTATTAAGTGCAATTATCTTTATTATTAGAAGATATGATGTCAATACTATAATACGACATCTAATAATTGTCATAATCTTTGTTAATCAAAGATAATATGTTGGTATTATAATGTTGATTCCACTTTAAGTTAAATTGATGGTATCATTAATTAGTACTACGGAGAATAATATACGAAGTAACTTTTATTGAATTCCATTTTTAATTAATTAAAAATAAGTTGTTATTTCCGATTATAGCTAGTATTATTACATTCACTAAAATGTCATTTCCGATTATAGCTAAAAATAAGAGTTTATTCATGTTATATATGTATACGTGTTCCACTAAAGTTGGAAAGATTAGATGCAATCTAGCTATATATATGAGTGTTTAAACATTTAAGCTACTATTGTCATTTAGAACCCCATGATTATATGTATCAAGCAATATTAAATGTTTACTAAGTTAAACATAGTATGTATGTGCTGAATGTGTGTGTGTGTGTCATCCTGTAAAGTATACGTACAAATATGTCTTTGGAATTTGATCTTAATCAGTTAATAAATGTGTGCGTTAATACGTGTGCATGTAACTAATGTCAAGTGGCCCTGTGGATCTAAATAAGTTCAGAATTTCAAACTACAAAGAATAGCATTTTATTTTTATTTAAAGTTATTGTCTAAAATAGGAGTAAAATATTGTTAAAGTTCTTAAATAGGAGTGTATAATTTTTATTCCCTAAATATGACTTCTTGGACTAAAACACCCCTGCTCCCCTAAATCAGATCACGCGAGAGGCATCTAGAGAAGACTTGCTGCTTTCTTCCTCTTAGCCGATCCTCCAGATCTGCTTGGCCGCCTTCTCCCATAGCCGACCCCCCAGATCTGCTTGGCCGCCCAAATCTTCCTCCACCTCCGTCGCCTAGTCCTCTCTACACTTTTGCCGCTCTGTTCGCCGGTTCTACCGCCCTCCCGCGCTGCCGCTTGTCTTCGCCCATTTCCAATCACCATTACGGAGTGATTTGAGGTATTTAATTCGTCTCTTTCTTCTTTTCCTTTTCCTCTTCATCTTTTTTCTCCTCTTCCCGTCACTTCTCCTCTTCATTTTTTCCCTCCTCCTCCCTCCCGTCACTTCTCCTCTGACCTCTCTTTGTGCTCTGGTTTCTTGTCTTTGTTTTAAATTACTTCTCATCACTTAATTTTTTAACTTTCATGATTATAAATTAAAGACTTACATACTCTGTATTAAATATGGAAATTGGATATGAAGATATGAAATGAGAGAGGTCTGAAGTTGGAAGTACGGTGATTGAAATTTTTTGGCTTCAACTTTTTTCTGTTAATTCTGATTTATTTGTTTTTTAAACATAATACTACTTTTTCTGATTATTCAAAATACATAATATCATTTTTAGTCAAACATTATTATTTTAAAGTAATGTCATTTATGATATTATATAGTGTCATTTTGTTTACCTTGGACAAATAGTGCCATTAACTTTATCATTAATGTCATTAACTTTGTCATTAATGTCATTAACTTTGTCATTAATGTCATGTTTTGTATATTCGAATGCCATTTTCTGATTATTCAAAATACATATTTCATTTTTAGTCAAACATTATTATTTTAAAGTAATGTCATTTATTATATATTATGTATAATGTCATTTTGTTTACCTTGGACAAATAGTGCCATTAACTTTATCATTAATGCCATTAAGTTTATCATTAATGTCATTATTAACTTTATCATTAATGTCATGTTTTGTATACACGAATGCCATGATTCTAATATGAAAATGTCATGTCTTGGTGGCATCACATGTCAATACTATTACGAAGATGACAACCCCCAACATAGATATGAAACAAATGTGTCTGTGTTGTGATGGTTGCACCGGAGATCTGCAGCGGCCATGGCGGATCGGAAGAGTTGATATGATGACAAAGAAGTTGGCAAATTATGGCGGCAGCAGTGGGGAATGTGATGGTAGCGGCAGAGGTGGCGGCCGGTGGTTGAAGAGCCTCCAGTGACAGAGACAGTGGCGGTGGCGGCGTCTGGTATTAGAAGAGCTGGCGACGGTGGCTGGTGGTGGAAGAGCCGGCAGCGGATGTTGATGATGAGGTGACTCGCGGCGACAAGCGTCGGTCTCATCGTGGCCTCCTGGGCCTTGGGCTGCGTTCTGTTGTTACCGTTATGCATTGTTTCAAAATGTTACTCCGTATTTTGTTTTAGTTTAGTACTAATGAAATCAGCTCTTTCATTAAGGGTAAATATGTCAACTCCTCTCTTTTTGCTCCTACGGAACAAGTGAGTCCTACTTATGCACTTTTCTTTTATTTTACTCCTAGTTTGGTAATTTACTCTTTTATTTATAACAAATTCGATCATCTAGATATACATTTTAAAGAAAACTAAACACAAGTAGTCTTCAAGTATGATTATATTAGAAAGCACATGCACATGACTATGTTTATTTACACTTTCTGATTATTATAATTTCCAATAATACATGAATTTATGAAATATTTTGGAAAAGATCCTTACTACGGGATTTAGATGCTAGTTATGGATAACTCTGTTCTGCTTTGGGTAGGAGTTGGTTTTACCGACTACGACTCCTCTAGTGTGCTAACTAGCATACGGCCCAAGACAGGGTCCTCTAAATCTCTCAATCTGAAATCTCTGTTCATTTATCGGATGATCCTTGTGATCAGAAGATCTCTGTTATCTGATGGGTAAAGTGACTAGAACTTTGTTCGAAATTACTTTATCTGTATCCTTAGCTAGAGTCTGGTCCTAAGAGTAAAGGCTAAACTAAAAAGACTACATAATTAAGTATTCAGAAAGTTGGATGATTTCGTTTATGAATGTGAGCAAGAAGTTGGATGATTTAGTTTTACTTCTATGTAAAACTAAATCATCTTAATCTGGTTGAAAAGATGGAAAATTTCTGAAATCATCCGTGTTAAAGAAGCATTGAGTGAGATTATATGAAATCTTTATACGTATTATTAAATATGAAGTTTAATTTTGACAAGTTTCTCGTGATTTATTTCTAATTAAGTGATAAATTTACAAGTATATTATGTGAAAAATAATGTGGGCTAAATTTGACTTCTATGGTGATAATGTGTGATGTGCGTGTTTTACTCACGTGCAGTTTCAATTGTGTAAATTGACTATAATGACATTAATACTTCTTTGTCAATTATTTGAATAAAAGATATAAATACATATTTGTTATCATATGTTATATTATAGTACCACTTAGCAATTCATTGCTGAGCGTGTATTTTTTCTACACGTGGGCGAGTACGAGAATCAAGTTGGAGCCCGGGACGATAAGACACGTGGAGAGGACTGCAGTGCATGTGTTTTATTTTGTTTTCATTGGTATAACCAACAATGTTTTAAAGATAAATGTATGATTTCACTAAAGTGAGTTTTGTTCATGTTGATAGTTAAATTTTCTGATGACACGTTATCAATAAGACGATTTCCATTACGTTTCATTCAAATGTTTTCTAATTAAAATGAAAAAATTTACTAAATGACAAACGACAACGACATATGTCCCCAACCGGCCGGACCGGGCGGGGTGGGTGTTACACAGTGTACTCGACTAAAATACTTCATATTAGAACGGTACCCTCCAGCAAACAATAAAAGTCCCTTGAGAAAAGTATTGTGGAGTGGTAGAGGTACATTGATGACTGAAGAGTGTCTAAGAGCATCTTTAATGGTAGGCTTTCAACATTAAAAAAATTGTGACACATGGCAATAAATGTATGGAATGTTTAGCCATGTAGGATGAATGTCAATACCTAAACTCCTAAAGCAGCAAAATGCTCTCCAATGCATTCCGTTGATGTCTAGTAGTTTTCTAAGTAGAATATATTTAATTCAAATTAATAAATGGAAAAGTAAATAAGAAATAGCAGTTATGCTTCACGTTTCGTTGAGTCAGGCTGTGAAAGGGACTGTCGAGAGACAACATTCATGTGTACACTGTCTAATTTATTTTTGAACAAGTCAGCATCACATGAGGATTAACATAGTGCATTGGAGATTAAAAGATCACCGTAATGTTAACGAAGGATGACATGTCAATTTTTTTTAATGTTAACGATGTGCGACTGCGGATGCTCTAAGTGTCTTCTGAGAAAAGTTTGTATGAACAGCAATCGTAGGCGTATCTTTTGCAATTGATTGACAAAAAGGCAATAGAAAACACAACTATGTACACCAGGCTCGACTTCACATCGTGGTTACACACTTACACTCCATTTCTTTATCATTTGCATAGACAAAAAATATAAATATAAAAACTTTGATAAAATTTATCTGTGTGAATAAAATTTGATCGTCTTCTAAATTAGATATGAACATGTGTGAAGTAAATTCTCCTCAGAAAGTAAATGTATAAGTCGGACGGGGCTTGGAGTCCATTTGTGTAAGGGGTTTCCATTCATGAGATCATTTAGGGATTATCTTGATTATTTGGAAGATCTTTTTAGAGATTATGGTTGAGAAGAAAAGATTATTTTGAAAAATTGTTTAGATTAAAATACATACCAAAAATTGAATCTTAGATTATTCAAAATTATTCTCAAATTTCAATAAGCACATTTAATCCAACCATGTCTTTTAATTTAGAATGACTAAACTACCTCCTTAGAAATAACATAAAATTCCATAAAAACTAAATAAATGAAGATCATTCTCAAAAAAAAAGTTGAATCCCCAACCCCAGGGCTCCCACACCCGACCCGACAAATCATGTGGGAGTATGTAAATCACGGTGACTCAATCAATCCTAATGGTGGTAGACCTTATACCCTTGCGTACCAGAGGTCATTCTCCAACTTTCCCACAGCTTTACTAGTTGAACTACTCGTGCGGGTAATAAATAAATATCATGGTTGCGTAGGAATTAAGTTTTGAATTTATTTATGTGGCAATGACATGACAAGAAAAAAAGCATAAAACCCTGCATATTTGAGGAGCATTAATGAAAATGCTCTAAGAAAAGTGGGTGCAAACTACATTTGTTACTGCATAAAGAATCATGAGTGAAGTTTGTGCAAACATCTATTAATCATCCGCCTCCTGTTTTATACATTGGAAAGGAAAATTCAAAGAGAAGAATTAAAATCTAATGATCTCTAATCAAATCATTAGCATCCTCCCAAGAAAACGATTAACCCAAGCAGGTGCGTCCTGCAACATATTTAAGTAATTTAACCCCTTAGGAGCTTGATGCGCCGCATTAGCCAATCTCTCTATGCAAGTGTTCTCGGTCTCATGAAAAGTGTGTTGTATTTGGATGAATCGTTCTTTCGCAAGTAGCTTCTGACAATTCCAAATAAGCACTCCCATAGTACTAGTGTGCTTTTCATCGCTTTGCTTCAGAGCTATAATACACCCCCTCAATCCATTCAACTGATCACTTTATTCAAATGTAGATCCCAAGCCAACAAAAACTCTTGCCTCAGACTCCAAAGCTCCGCTTTATAACTATCGCGCGGTTCTCCCAATATTCAGAATAACGCCACTAATCATCTGCCTCCTTTAGTTAGTGCTAATGATCAATATTTGTGATGTAGATAATGGAAAAATTGAAAAGCAACCTAATTTCCATTAAAACCTATGCCTTCTTTTTTGTCTCTCTACTTGGGACAGTTGGTCCACTTCAACAATTAAACGCACATCATTTCAGGACATACCTTCCATTATTCAATTCTACAAACAAAGGGTTGTCATTCTTATTATCCGGGTCTAGACGTCCTACAATGAAATTTGTACAAACTGTGTCAATGTTGAAGCCAGGAGTACGCGCTATTCAAAATTTTCTCGGCTTGAGTTTGATTATTTTTAGAATCAAATAACTTCATTAATACTCATTAAAGGTCAATACATGAGAAATACAAACTGGGGGATAATCAAATCAAAATCCACCAGACCCAGAACAGGCTTTCCTAGCAAGAATCTGGGTGGGGTGATTCACTTATCGGTGCATATAATGGGTATGTACATTGGCAAAACTTGTCATTGCATCATATGTCTAATATTTCTAAAAATAATATTGCTATAGTGAAGGCCATCCTCCCGCTCTACCTATAATGCATCAGATTCCATTATGACTTGCCTCCATCCCGACTCTTGAGCTCGGATAAGTGCCTCTTCGATAGCCATGGTCTCCATCAAACTTGGGGAAAATCGCCCATTTTTGCATACACCTTTACCTGCAATAAAAGAACCACTTTCATATATATTTAGAGCTTTAAAGTTTGGATTAAAACCGGTTTGATGTTTTTATATTTAGAGCTCGTTCGGTTGCCCCGTTTTTCAGTTTCTCGGGCTTATCAAACCATTTTCTACCAAACATGTAATTCTTGATTTCGCGCGCTGAATTGTGTAGTAATAAGAAAATGTGAGATTTGAGTTACTTTTATGTCAGTATTGGCTAAAGTTACGATAGATGATGATTTTAGCTATTCTTCATATAATTTTTCTTTATTTTTATATTTTAAATACAATTTTTTCAAGAATCAGCAGAATCGGCCTATCTAGTCACTTCAGTCAGAACTTCATAAATTTAGCACAATCAACCGATTCAGTCAATTTCAGTGTTATCAAACTGCCTCTTAACTTATCAATTTTATCAGTCAATTTTTTATAAAAATGTAATACGTAGTATTTATTTTATGCACTGAATTATGTAATAATGAAAATAAGTAATACATAATTACACAGAATTATGTAAAGTTGGAGTTGTTTTTCAATAAAACTGGGTTTAGACGACTTTCTTTCTCTCGAATTTCTCCAACTTTGCTCTAGATTCCTACTACCCGAGTTTCAAAATTCATCACTGATTTATGCTAAAAGCTATAAACTTTCTTTAGAAGTTACTCACAGTAGTTTCTTAATAAAGATGTCAAGATTTTAAAAATATCTTAATATTTATTGCATGTGTCAAACATACAACTAATAGTTTATAGAGACTTTTTGAATAATATAAAAATTAGAATACGGATTCTTATATCTATCATACATGCACATAATACAAACATCATACAAGACCAAAGCGAATCAAAGAGATCAAATCATACCATGCATAGCAAGGCTAGACCAAATCAATCCAATTTAAAACTCGTAAGACTTAGTTTTTTTCACAAGGCCCAAAATATTAGAGTCAAATCTAATTCAATCTAAAATGATTCATTCTGCAATTATTTGCTTTATTTAAGATCGATCCATTTATGTCTTATAGCTTGATCTTTTTAAACTAGTCCGATCTAGTAAAGTCTTAGGATGTTTTTACTTGGACTGTAATTT